TTTGTGTTGAGATAAGTGTGTAGGATTAACTACAATAGCGATAAGGCGTAAAGCATATGATGGGCGAAAGTCGAATATTCAGACAATATATCGGGAGCTCGCCAAGAGCTTGTTGGAAGATCACCGAGGGTTTATCGCTGAAAGCTCGTCGAGAGATCATTGAGAGTTCATCGGAAAATCGCTGAAAGTTCATCAGGAGTTCGCCGAAAGCACACCGGAAGACTCGCCAAGAAGTTCGTCGAAGGATCACCGAAGGAAAGATCGACATACCAGACTAATTGTTTGCCTTAATCATAGTTAGAACCATAAATTGAGATAAGATTGGGAGGTGATCTCACTAACTCAGTTAGGGGCCAATTGGACCCTTAATAAGACTGAATTGGGCCAGATTTGATAGCTCATTCGGCATCTGAAATCATGGCCGGTGGTGGCACCACCTAGGAGACCCAGTCTCTCAGGTGGTATGGGCGGTGGTATCGCCAGAGCTTGGTCTCTTAGCTATATCAAGCGGTTGTACCGCCCAGACTAGGTTGTGGTACTACCTAGTGTCATGTGTCAAGCGGTGGTACCACCCAATAATGGCGTTGGTACCGCCAGTACCCCAAAATCCAAGGATATGACACTTTCTGACTCTAATTTTGAAGTCATTAGGGTCTATAAATACCCCAACCTTTTCTGCATGAAAAGGTATGAAATTATTAGCATAATCTTAAGTCTTTGAAGTGTTAAAGAGTTGTAAAAGTACTAGAGTCCTCCTCCTCCCTTTTTAAGTGTTGAGATCATTCGAGAGAGGTGTGAGACTTGTAAGAGTTCTCTTCTAAACCCGTAAAAGGGAGAAAGCGCTGTAAAGAGGTAATTGGTCTTCACCTATTGAAGGAAGGTCATTAGTGGACGCTGATGACCGTGACGAAGGAGGAATCCGAAAGTGGATGTAGGTTACAACGACCTAACCACTCTAAATTATGGTTTCCTTTTCATTTGTGCAATTTACATTATTGCAAATCTCCTTAATCTTCTCTTTGCACTTTTACGAAAGTTTTCAAGTTCAATTTTCTAAGAAAAAAAATAAAAAAAAAGGTTGATGAGTGCTCTATTGTGTGATGAAAATATCCTCGTAATCTTCAAAGGTAGATATATCTTTCTAGAAGAGTTGATTTGTGAATTTTACTTATCTTACTCATGATTACATTCAAAAAAATTATTTTAATTTATTAAATGACTAAATAACTAGTAAGTTGAGTTTATATGATGATTCAACGATGAAAGTTATGGGTGTAAGTAAAGTGAAGATCAAAATGAATAGAGTGGTATACTTTAAAGAATGCAACTTATGTTCCAAGGATATAGAAGAATTTAATTTCTTTGAATCTTAGATTCTTAATGTTATAACTATAAGGTTGGAGGTAAAGTTTTAAAAGTTACAGTGGGTTGCATAGTTCTAATGCAAAAAAAAAATCTATCAAAGGTTATACCATCTAGAAAGAAGTACAATAAAGATCTCAAATGAATAGAAACTGATTATAAGTGTAGAGGATGATAGCTACATATAATTATAAGTTTCATTGGTGGTGTAGAAAATGAATAATGATATCCATGTTTTCAAGCTGTAGATGATTGTAAAGAAGAAAATTCTTACTAGTGTTAAGATGGTGAGATAAAAGGTGAATCAAATAACATAATTGATTTGGTTTCAATTACACAAAATATATTTACGAGCTTATCGGAATCAGGTGTTGGACTATAAATTAATTTAGTTTGTGTAGTTACGGTGAAATCTTCAAGACAATGGTTCAATTCTCGTTAGAGGTATAAAGTAAAAAAATACTAATCAAGAAGATTATTAGGATTGATAAATATATTAAAATAGTTTAAACCACTCGAGAGGAGTCCTAAGTAAATTTAAATTCATCGGTGAATTAGGATTTGGATTTATTTAGGAATTCAAATAGAAGAATCCTCATAAAATTAAGGTTTGTTTCTACAAATATGCTCTCGAGGGTTTATCTATAGGGTTTATAAAGAAGATTAAGAATTTTTTTTTTATGTTTATGTAAGATGATATATAAGAAGATTGTGTTTGAGTAGAGATAACTT